GTATGTCACGTTCCATTTCTGTAATAATACATTAGGAGAGTATGAATAGCGATGAGGGATTTGTAGATAAATATCCAGTATTTATTGTCTGCAAAATATTAAATTTCCCCCCACTTTCTTCGTGAAAGTAGGGGGGATGAAAGCCACCCTTCCTCAATAAGTGTGGGGGGATATACCCCCATCCCCCCGCTATCTACGCCCCTGTCAGATGAACTCAAAGTTGACTTTTGATATGCATACAAATATTCATAATCATAATCTTTGTTAGCACTACTCTAAGGCGCCGCGGAAAGACTTCACGTGGTCCCTGTACGATTCACAAAACGACAAAAAACCGACATAATTCTTCTAAATCTATCATTCTCTCGTTCACCGGCTGTGATCGGCTAGCGACAGTATAAGCTAAAGACGTGTGCATTGTTACGTATGAGATCAGGGTAACTTTATCAGCATCCATATTTACTGCTACATAAAAAGGGACAACTACAGCAGGAAAACATATTATTCGTCAAGCACTCTTGTATAATTATTGTATTGTGATACATGCGAAGAATAGAGGAGAATAACAACCGATTTCTGATAGTACTAGTTAAAGTGTATTTTGGTTCTATAAAAATAGGAATGTGCAATAACAAGCCCGCAAATGACAAAACATCCATAACAGAAGCGTGCGATTTATATAAAAAAAATATCCACGGAGTTGTAGGTAAGATTACAGTGTCAGAAAGCTTCATTTGAGTTTTTTAATAATAGAATATTTATATTATTAATACTCAGTATCAATCTCGCGATGTGAACATTTTCATGCCATTCAATGCGGCTATGATTTAATTTATGGCTGATATCAACTACCTGTTATATTTATATTGATTCCAAACAATTTTACATGTGTGTATATTAGTACAACTGCTCTAAATTATAGGCTATTGTATCGAATACAGTTTAAGTGACTTGTAATGTCAATGAACGTAGATGTATCCTGGGTCTCTGTGGCAAAACATTGAGTCAGGCAATATCATTATTAAGCCACCTCGAGGAAGCGGAACACATCTCCGGCTGGGCAACTACAATAGCTCTCAACAACCCATTGCCGTATGCTAGTCACACTCAGTGATGAGTGCCTGGCCCAGAGAAGCCTAGCTCGATCTCTGGATATCGATCTACTATCTATATGCAAACATTCCCTAATCTAATGTTTCACGTGCAGCTAGAGTTGCGCACACGCTGGAGGTTATGCCTCATGGACTGTGGTGACACTCTAAATGGGAGTCAGAGTCGCGTTAGTCCCTATATGTCATCACATTTTTGCACCTTGCAGCGAAGAAAGCATCAAATGAGCGGTACTTTGGATGCATGACGTTATCGATCTTTGCAAATGTGGCAATCTCATCGCAGTACACCGTATACGACCAACGGGGAGCGAATGCGTACCTGTGGGCGTGGCGGGGTTTCTGTCCGCTAGCTAACCGATCGCGGTAGTCAGCTTCTGCATCCTGGTTCATATCTTGCTCGCTAGGGAGCGCCAGTGACCCATCAAGGATCATAAGCGCAATCGGAACCTGGAGGTACGCGATTGAGAATTCGAGGCCTGTATACGGCATGCCGATAAACATGAGCGTGTGGTACCTGCTATGGATCATGTGTTTAAATAACGGTTGTATGCGGCAGCCATTGGTGACAGTGACATCGCACGAGGCGTCGAGGAATGGGAACGAATACTCGTAGCCGGTGCAGAAAATAATCACGTCTGGTTCGAGCGTCTCACCGTCGGTGAACGTCACCACGCTACCGTTGATCGCCTGCATGAATGTCGTTGTTCTCACGTTGTGTGGTAGCAGCCCGTTCTTGTACTGCTCACCCAGGCATAGACCGTCTAGTTCGCTGAGTGATATGATCACCTCGGATGCGTGAGGGTAGAGACCTTTCATGATATCAAATGCAGACGAAAGTGCTCCCATCAGGAGTATTCGCTTGCCTGTAGAAATAGATGTCTTATAAAACTTCAACGGTAGACGGTGCGGCGTGACGTTCTGATATAATGTAACTACAGCAAGATACGAAGTAGGTTTTGTTTCAGCTTAATATTCCCGTATAATCTTGTATGCTTAACTATATATTAGGTGTATCCAGTACGTATAACAAAATAACCAGTATCTATACTAATGCTCGTCGGGTCTATGTCCCCTAGGGTACTGCCGGAACGTCCCCTGGGTATACGGTCCGGTATACCGGAACGTACCCTG